GACCCATTTAAATCGACTGTATAGTAATGGTCAAGGTTGGACTCGACGAGTCGTTCTTGGGACTCGGCGAGCCAGGGTGTACTGGCCACCAAATCCCTTCTGTGAATGGACCAGTTGTTAGGATGGGAAGTCCCTTAGTTGTTTAGATGCGTAAAGGGACCTGGGAATCATAGGACTCGGCGAGTGTATGAACAGACTCGGCGAGTCCAAGGCAATCTCCCAATCTTTGAAGATGGACTCGACGAGTTGTTCATACAACTCGGCGAGTCATAGATTGAACACATTCTTATGAGGGAGATGAACTTGACGAGTTCAAGGATGAACTCGGCGAGTCGGATGAAGATGGTCCCGATGGTTTGAATGAAGGAGAACCCGTCGAGTTCTTGCTAGACTCGACGAGTGGAGTCGGGGTTGGATCGGGTTAGTAGAGTATGGACTCGACGAGTTAATAGACCAACTCGGCGAGTCAGGTCAACTGGGTGTTGACCTTGACCAATGTTGACTTTGCCTGGTTTTGGTATTGACCCTAGTTGGGGTTGTATGTTCGGTTTGATGACTTGATGATTGTCGTGTAGGGATTTAGGGGTCGAGGAGAGCCGGCCTTCACGCAGAGGACAGTTCCGAAACTACACGACATCGAGGTGAGTTACCTTCCAGTAGCGGTGGGTCTACGGCCACAATGTCGGCCCACCAGTAGGAGTTGTATGTTAGATGATTGTCTTTGTGATATTCATCTAGGTTTGCTACTACCTGTTATGTTTTATGTGCTAGCATGATATGATGTTACGTGATGATGGTAGTAGTAGGGGGAGATAGTCCCCAAGTTACCGGCCGATAGGGCCGAAGGGGTAGTTTAGTACCCAGCTATGTTAGATTATGATTACGTGACGGTATGTGATAGATCGGTCGAGAGGACTGAAGGGGTAGGCCAGCACCCAGGCATGCAAGGCAAGGTAACCGGTCGAGAGGACCGAAGGGGTAGGCCAGCACCCAGATATGCTAGGCAAGGTCACCGGTCGAGAGGACCGAAGGGGTAGGTCGGGCACCCAGATATGCCTGGCAGTATGTATGTTATGGGTTTGTATGGTATGTGGTATGATGGGGGAACTCACTAAGCTTCGTGCTTACAGTTTTTAGTTTTGTTTCAGGTACCTCTTCAGGGAAGGGGAAAGAGTCGACGCGGTAGCGGCACATCACACTCACGCATGATTTCCGCATTGAGTTTTCTGGGATTGTACTCTGATTATTACTATTATCCGATGACATGTTTTGAGACACGACGTAATGGTTTTGTGAATTAATATAATATTAGCAATGTTTGATAAATGATTTCACATGATTACTTAATTAAAAATGAAATTTTTAGCCTTGAAAATTGGTATTTTACACCACTCCTTGGGTGTGGCAAGGAACCACACTTTTATGGTAAAAATGACGTGGCGCTTATGTGGCAACGAAGGAAGTGCGGTTTCGGTGGGACCACTCCCTCCAGCCTTAGCCTTTCTTAATGCATTAAGCCCTTATCCTTTAGATCTATACTCTATACCTTGAATCTAAACTGAAAATGCTTCTGGAAGGGTAAAGTTTCCAACTTTACCCATTAATATCTTTCTTTCCTAATGGATTAAGCTTAAACCCTAACCCAAAAGGCCAAGTCTTAATCCAAACATCACCAAACACCTGATAATCCATGGGTCATGAATCTGGACTCTAGGGGCAAGAAAATCGCGTAAAGCTTCAAGTTTTATCCACATGCATGGCCTTTTGGGGCTAGAAAGGCCAAAATAGAGGCTTAGAGGTTGCATGGGACTTCCATGGCCATAAAGTTAGCACCTTTATGCCATGAGAGTCCCTCTAGACACTAGATCTGAAGTGTTCTTCACTTGGAACGTCCAAATCCCAAGAGTAATATCATTTGGACTAAAATCCACATAAAGATGCTAAGATGAGGATCTAATCAACTACTAGTCAAGTTTGAGACTTGATTACCCGAAAGTAGCGAAAATGGAGTGAGGTTTCTGGATCTAGCAACTCTTCCTTGTTCCTTCAAGCTTTCCTTCCTTCCAAGCTCTTCAAACACTCACAAGAACACTCAAAATGGCTCACTATAGCATTAGGGTTTCGAGATCTAAGGTTGGAAAATGGAGGCTGGAAATGAGGCCAAACCCTAGGCCATAAAGTGTTTAGATAGGGTGCAAAATCCTGGATCTAGGGTTTCCCAAACCTCGTCCAACTCGTCGAGTTAGTCTTCCAAAAACACGCGTGACAACATTCCTACTCATCGAGTTATCACCCTTGAACTCGACGAGTTGCCTTCATGATTGAAGGTTTTCTTTCATTAATTGGCCTTCTGGTTTCCGGGTGTTACAACTCCCCCCCCCCCCCCCCCCCACTTAAACTAGACTTCGCCTCAAAGTCCGTTACAGTCACTTACCCCGCAACATGTCACGCGCCACGCCCGCAGCTTTCCTCCTACCTGCCCTAAACCAACTGATGTTTCCCACGGGCACTGACACCCGCCATCCTAAGAGTACAACCATCATTACGCGCAATCAATGGCCTTCCCAAGGCAACCGAACCCAACTACCAAGACCTTCCAAACCCGATGAAGGATAATCCTTACTGTCATACAGAGAACTACTTATGTCTTTCTAAGATCTGAAATCTATAATGGTCTGTCTCCCTGACGGACCGCCTATGCTCCAAAAACTACCATGCCAAAACCTCATCGAATAACTGTCCAACCATAAAGTAATGACATATTAGATAAAAGACAAAAGTCTGTAAGTCCAAATAGATGTACATGACTTTATGTATCATACTTTATGATATAATCCATGATACTCACATTGGAATAATATTATTTTTTATATAAATATTTTCCAATTAGTTTGAAGCATTATAATTATTTAACAAAAATCAAATTCTTAGAAATAATATATTCATATCAACTTTTTTCTTACGTGACCTTATAGAATTATATGTTATTAGCAAATATAATTCTAACATGATTCTTAACATATTGATCTAACATTATTTACTAAACTTAATTATCTTATTGATCCAACCTTATATCCATTCTAAATACCAATGTCGGTGGCGCCTCTTTTGCATTTTCATTCTTTCTACTTTTTCTTATTTCCATTTTGAGTCCTCACGTTTGTTTGATTTTTAATTTATAGTTTTTAGCAATTTAAGTCCCTCTATTAATTTTTTATTGCTATCATTCTTATACTTTATAAAATGATATTTTACAAAACTCTACTTTTTAAAATATAAAATTTATCCGGTATTTCAACATTGAAAAATATCAATTTCACCCCTTTCATTTTCTAAGTTTTTATTTTATCCTCCGTAATATCAACAACTTTATTTTCCTACAGTTACCACTCATTCGATTTTCTAAGTTTTCGTATGCATCGGTATAAATTAGAGGTGACCAACGTTTCGACGTAAATTTAGAACTTTTGTTTGTTGATTTAAAAAAAATTACTTGTTTTTTTTATGTACGTGTCGGTATAAATTCAATTTCGCTACGTTTATACTTTGTAAAATGACATTTCAACCCTCTACTTTTTAAAATGTCATTTTCACCCCTTTTTAACTTTGAAAAATATCAATTTCACCCATTTTATTTTCTAAAGTTTTGTTTTATCTCCTATAATATATACAATTTGATTATCATACAGTTACAACGCCTACGACTTTCTAAATTTTTGTATGCGTCAGTATGTAATACAATTTTTATTATATTTGTTTGGTATGGCTTTGACCCCTGACTTTTGTGGTTTGCCAATTTAACTCTTACTAAGTTATATTCAACACTTGACAGCTTATTTTCTACTACTTATCAAATACATTATTGTCGCATAGCGCGGGACCGGTAAAATCCTAGTTATTTACTAAACTTAATTATCTTTTGAATTGTTCACTAACTTATACTTTCCAAGTTTCTTGTCTATCCCAACTTTACCAGATTTGTTTTTTTTTTCCAAGCTTCTTATCTATCAAGTGTACCAAAATTCGTGTCTATAAGACCTATAAGTTAATTTCATAATATGATATCCATTCACTATTGATTAAAAAAAACACTTTTGACTCCCTTATCTTCTGAATAAAAACATATTTTATATATTGATGGTCTATATCCTCTTATCAACACCTTTCGAACCATATCCATAATATGACATTTCACCCTCAAATGGTCCACTTTTGCGAATAACAATATATTCCAGAATTGAATCTTATCCATTCCAAACATTTTAAACTTATATGGTCAATTCCTTTAACAAGCAACATCATCCAATCATAGATTTTCTTTCATATTATAACATATACACAAACGTCAACCATCAAAAAATTACAACTTTTGAATCAAACCAATCATTCATTGAGTACGTGTACTATAACTTCCAACATGTTTTACAAGCATATACAAATCCATCAGATAACCTTGCGTTTGCAGTTTCTAACATCAAATTTGTTATTTTGATCACTTATCTTTTAACTGTATACAACAAACCACAAAACCTTTTTTTCTGTGTTCGTATTACACCATAAGAATGCATTTCAATCGGTTAATTTTGTCATATCATATACCACAACACACCATACACAATGTCCGCACATGATACAAGATAGACTTAATGAACAAGTTTTGTCATATAGTTTACTCAGTTGAAATCTACCTCATGAGAAGATAAAAAAAAAAAATGTTTGATCATGTTAAATATAATTAAAACATAAGTGATATAAAAAGCAAATTGCTTCTTATTGGTTGTCATTGTATTATTTTAACCTTTAAATAAAATGTAATTCCTTGTTACCTTCATTAATATCCATGCATAAAAAGAAAAACCAACATGTTATAGGAACTTTTAAACTCATTTCAGCATAAGTAGCAGTTAAAGATTACAATTTACATAGTTTGCCATATATATATATATATATATATTATAATATATATATATATATATATATATATATATATATATATATAT